GCTTTGGCGTCTGCCATTTATGTGGAGGTATGGTTGTAATATTTGCATTGAAATTTTACATTATAAATCATTAAAAAAGAAAAATAAACGCTGATTATGGGCGGTATGCGGTGGTATGCGGTGGTATGTGGTGGCATGCGTTGGTATGCGGTGGTATGCGGTGGCATGCGGTGGTATGCGCCTTTTAGTGAGACCGATTCACTTCGCTGCATGAACGTGGCTAATGTGACGCAAATCAGCGCGAGCAGAGAGAGGGCATTTATTCATTAGGCCCCGGCAATAATGCAGTGCCATATAACTAGGGGTACGGGGGTGGCGCACGCCCCTCCAAAAATTACTTGCACCCCCTCCCCAAAAAATCGCCCGGTTGGACCCCTTTGAATCCGCCATGCCTAAAATCACCTTATTTTGCGAGATAGAGCCCTTCAACTGATCATGAACCCCTCCTTGCCCCCCCCCCCCACCCACAGCACCCCCGCTTTAAGACTCTTAGATTATGCCACTGCTATTATGATTATACAGGTTTCTCTCCAAGGTCTTTAATTAGAGGAGTCTATAATTATAGGGAGACTTGTAGTTCATAGCGCAAAATTGAAACGTTTATTATAAACTTGAAGAATATTGAATATTTATGATTAATTCAATTGAAAATTTAAAAAAATTGAATGATTGAATGAATGTTTTATTGATTTGTTTGTGATGATATTCGTTTGTCAATTCGTTCGATCGATCGATTGATTAGATTCTTCGATCGATCGATCGACTGACTGACTGACTGACTGACTGACTAATTGACTAACTGATAGAAAGAATTACTCTGTGGACTGTCACGATAAATACGTTCAAATAGGCATATGAGTCAGATGAATAACAATGTAGAAGTAGGGCCTATTAAAAGCAAAAATAACCGACCAAAGGTTATCAGAATAATACAAAAGTTAGAAAGTATTTGACATGTTGGTAGGCCTACATCAGAGAGGTATAAAACCTCCTATGGCCTAGCCCGTTCAATAAGGAGTTCTTTGTGCCTACCTCTTTCACATGGAAGCTCATTCCATAAAGTTTTTCACTGCGATAGCAACATGTCTTAAATTGTGTTTCCATTAGGCCAAAATAATGTTTGCCCTCCTCCACCCGCCTCTAACTCACTGAAAAAATAGGGGCGGAAAAACAAATAAAAAACTTTTTAAAAAAGTTCATTTTTAGCTATCTTCTTTACAAATTAAAACAAATGTGAGTGAATTTATCTTCATTTTTTGCCAGATGCCCTACAAATTAGTCTAAAGTTGTTCTCTGATCTGCCAAGATATTGCCATTCCAGTCCTCTGTGGGTTATTTTTATTCCATCTGATGATCGGGTATTTAAATAAATAAATAACTAAATAAACTTTTCCCACCCCTATTTATCATTTTTTTAAAAAGAAGGGCAACCAAACAATTTATTGTATTTGGCCTTATGTTGAAACTTCAGGCCAAAGATAAATAGCATTAATTGGAACATAGTGAAATAGTTCTATTTTCATCTATGATTGGAGTGATCGATTAATTCAGTGTGATGTTGCTGCGATCAATAGAAAGTCACTCCATTGAACGCAAGTACTCAGTCTTGCACTGTTTTTGTTGATGTGGTAGGCCGGGCCCAATTTTCATGTACCGGAATTTCTAAGCTCTAAAAATTTACGGAATTAAAAAGCTTATTTGAAAAAAAAAATTTAAAAAAAATACATAGGATATATTTTTCTCTTTGATGAATTGCGGCCATTGTTTGAAGCATCCTCGAGAAATAGGGCCACAGAAGTCGTATAAATTTATAATTCTGAACCCCCCCCCCCCACGCAAAAAAATATAGAGATAAAAAGTCCCTACTAGTAACTGTATTATTTCATTAGGTCAAAAAATCTGAAAATTGAAGGCTTGGCATCCACGCGACAGAATTATAAAAATAATGATTGCGTTGTCACAGGAAGCGCATAAACTTCGCATAACTATTTACATCCAGAGCGCGTAATCACTATAAGTTTGTTATGGTAATATCATCACATGCCTCTCTGCCGACCAATACGAAAGCCAAGAAAACTTTGTCGTCAAGGATTACTAACAGCATAGATAAGGTATACGCAATGTATCGCATTCGCCAACTCACCCAAATTCACCTCTTGATCGCAAACTCAACAGCTTACTAGGCCTACTTTTGTTTTTAAAAGTTTATAGATATTTTAGAAAATATTTAATTGGAATTACATCACTTTTATGTTATAAATAACTGTCTGTAATAAGTATACTGATATAATTTTTACTTTGATTTTAATTTGTAATCCTCAGTTTCAGTTATTTATAACAATTTTAGTTGCATAATGTTTTACGGTCAAACTCTCCGTTTTTGGGATCGTTAAAAAAGAAAAAAATAATAATAATAATAAAAATAATAATAATAATTTATGCCGTCCAGTTATGCCTCGCAGAACTTTGTTTCGCAAACCGCAATCTAACTTTTGGAAGAAGCAATCATCATGTTAAAGTTAATCGGTAAGCACGAGCACAACCGCCAGTGTTTTAGCAACTCATTTATTTGTATCGATGCTCTAAATTGTAAATTATGTCTGCATAGGAAATGAACAAAACAAACAGAAATGGTATAGGTAAGCGTTAAATAAAACTTTGCCAATGTTTATTTGAAATTCACCATACGTCATTTCGAGCACACACACACACACACACACACACACACCCACACCCACACACACACACACACACACA